TCAGTAAAGCCGGTTCTGTGATTAATAGTAAATCTCCATCGCGTGCTTTCAGATGGAGTGGCATTTAATACACAGAGCCGTAGTTCACTGCAATATCGCGTTCATAATTGAAGGCGATTGATCTGCGATTATGAACGCGATATTGCGTAGCTTGTCAGTTAGGCCTACTGTTTACAATGCGTGGAATGGTGCGCTGTGATTGGTTGAGCGGATATATAGCATTCTGCAGAGAAGGGAGACTGGCGTTTGTCGCGGTTTGGAAAGATAGGGAGAAAACATGACAGAATAACACGGCGGATATCGCATTTTCCGTAAAATTTTAATTGACTTTTCAATACCGACCCGATACAATACTGATTTTGGCGGGAACTCAATTTTTTTAAAATGCCGTTTATCGCATTTTGGAAACAAACTCTTCATTTATTAAAAAACTGAATATTTAAGTGTTTTATTGTGATTGTTTTCATTTTAAAATTATTTATATACAGTATAGAGCTGCATGACTATTGCACTTATTTTGTCACATATGGTGATCTGATATAAACCTAGCACACAATGTATCCCCAAATGCCCATTAAACTCGCAGCACATTCAGAGATAATCTAATCTCTGCATGATAATCCTCAAAAAAGCCTTCATCTTTCAAAAATTCATCTTCAATTTTTTTTTACTTGTGTTTTCGGGCTGAAATATAACTGGAAAATTTTTTGACAGGCTTCGTGCAATTTACCCACATTCTGCAACTGCGTCCAAATATCAGGATATTAAAAGCAATTGAGAATGACTTGTAAAAATTTGCATGCGTTTTTATTTAACGGACTACAACAAATGGTTTATGTCATTACATGCCTCACAGATGCCTGTTCCCACCGTAATCATTAACGTTTAACGCAGGGAAGAACTGACACGAGGAATCCTGGCAGAAAAGGCTTTATTCCACCATGGCACATGAAAGCGGACACACCAGCGAGACGATCAATGGAAACACTGTCAGATGGATTAACAGCCAGTGTAACGTCTCAATGCAACAAACCAGGCTTCTGAAATCAAGCTTTGATCGTCTGTCAATTAAAAAGCCAAAGCGCTTTCAGATCCAAGAAAACATCGCTCCAATTATAAGATCAGATACAAGATTAGCTTTCTGCTCAGAAACCAGGCTTGTGCAAAATTCAGAGCTGAAGAATTAGTTCCAGTACAATTCCCGTACAGTGTGGATTTGAATTGAACTGGTTACAACATGCATACATTTCAAGTGTGTATGGAACAGAACTCAATCAAAACTATGATGATTGACACCATCTTGCACATTTAGTATCCGCTATTTCTAACCAACATAATATTATAGCGACCAAAGACTCGTTATATTCAGCAATTTTAACTAAACCACCATCAACAGAACCATAGCGTTTTGTTTATGATTTGAAGGTTGCTTTGCAGAGTGAGCTCTTGAAGGGTTGCCATGTCCACTTATTATAAGCGTCGCCTTATTAAGCGTTTTTGGGCCATTTGCTTGGGCATGGCTAATGAAGCGATCTAGTTTATAGAGGTAATAAAGCAGGCGGTGCAGTTTGCAATATTTTAGTATGTGGCTTATTTCCAAGATAACAAATTTGGATTTGAGTTTATTATGGGCTTGATCTTATATGTGGTTATTTTCTAGCAAGATCTGGCAACACCGAGACAAAACGTACCCCGTGATTTCTTGCACAGCATATACAGAAAGGACACAACTCTGATTAGCATTTAAATATGTCATTAACAACTAGCTTCAGTTCGGTTCCATACACACTGCGTAGAAAGAAAATACAACTTTTTATCTCATAATTCTGACTTTTTTTCTTGCAATTCTGAGTTTTGGAATTCTGCCACAGAATTTTTATCTCAAATCAGACTTTTTCTTGCGTTTAGATTTATTTCTAAACACAATTCTGAATTGTCATCTGGAAAAAGACAATTGTGAGATATAAGCTTCCATAGGAAGGATACTTCAAACAATCAAACAAACTTTTTAATGGAAAATCACTGGACAAATGAA